GGCCCGAGCAACGTCCGAACGCCGTATCAGCTCGTCCAGATAAAACGTTTCGCTTCACCTTTTAACGAGCCCCTCGCGATTAATAAATTATCTAGATTTCCGTGTTAATATCCGCGACCAGTCGATTAAACTCCTCGGTCTATCTTCATGGATGTCCCATAACCGGCGATAAATTAGCTTGTGAAAATTCCGAAAATAATAGCAGCGAACGTCTCGATTTTTGTCGACCGACGAACGCGGCCGATTATCTCCCCTGTTCAATTTAAATTTTCAGCTTTGCCCCGGCGAACATTCCTCCCGCAAAAACGGGGAAAGAAGGGGTGATGGGGAACGGAGAGGGCTCAGGATCGCGATAAGATTCATGCATAAAAACGAATCTGGTTTACGAGAATGCTCGTCGTCTAGAACACGATTATTAAAACGTGCCGTCAGCTTGTAGACCCCAACGAAGGAAACACAGTTCTCGGGCTTCTTGGAACCTTAAATTAAAACCGCTCTCGTTGTTTTGCGATCGGAAAAGGATCCCGATCGGTGCCGAGGACTTGAGAGCGTTCCGGTGTCGTTCGCAATCGGGGGCATAAAGTGTCCGCATAAAGCAAAGTCCGGCGTAGACGTCGAACCAGGTAAGGAGATGCTCGCGATGGTGCCCCACGTCTTCACCTCTCTCGAAACGTCGACGAATTTTCGAATAAGACCGCGTTCGCTCTCGTCTCTCCTCGATCCATTAAATAGGACAAATCCGTTTTGTCTCTGCGTCGTTTGAAACGCTACTTCGTAAAGTGGATTATATCAAACAATTTTTTACACTGGCCATTGTGATATTAAGAATGTTCAAAATGCCTCGACTTCTACGAAAGAATTTTATTCTGTACAGAAAATTGTCGAGTCGATCGAACATCGTATGAAAATGAAAATTTGTAATTTGTTACGACCGGAGTGCGAATTCAATGCATTTGTCGCACGATTGAGTGCCAAAGAAAGATTGAAAAAATTTGAAAACATCATTGTATTATTTTTAATCCATTAATATATTATTGAAAGAAGAAAGATCTTTCTATTTAGTTTCGATCTCTTGCAATTGACGCGGCAATTTTTATTTTACACGAAAATCCGCGGTCTAGTGATTACTGTGTGATTAAACTTAATATCTGTACGTAGAATGTGACAGAATTTTTAATGTTGTATTCGATCTGAACTTGTTCATACGCGAAGCGTCGTATATTTGCATAAATATTCGATATCTAATATTTCACCCAAATTCAGACGGCGAGCAGTAACATTTTATTTCCATGTTCGAAGTACGCAATAAATGACCATATGACCATCCTGGGAACGAAGACTATAATATGTATATATATATATATATATATATATATATATATATATTGAGAATATTTTGAAGAACCTTAATAAAAGCAAGCTGTATCGAGAATAATTTAGTAGCAGAACTATGGATTTATAATACGCGCTTGTTTCTACAAGAACGACGGGCAGATTCTTAAAAAGATAATAAGCATTTTACATTGTGAAATTATTTTGAAATTACTTTTTACATCGAAATTCAGGTTTAATGCAGCCCTCGCCTTATTTTATTAATTTTATCAACAATTTCACAAAATCATGGAACTCCGTTTGAATAAAAATATTCATCTCTTTCGTTTCACGGAAGAAGCTCGAAGTGAACCGATTATGCTAATTGAAACTTTTGTCTCGATGCAGCTTGCTGTTGCAGCTCCAGAATTCTGCCAACGTTACTACGGGTTTGCACAATTTTGAATACCTTGCCAAGAGTCTATAATGCATCTTTTATGTCAATAGTCGAGCGCGTATGTAAACACTACGCACGCATATCACCGCACACGTAGATAACTGATAAGGCACTTACTGTATTACAAGTGCACGCCCCCGATAGCTTTTTTTTGTAAACAAAGGGCGAAAGTTTGGATTATCACTGAGTACCAAACGTCGTATAATTGCAATACATTTCATTGTAATAAATTTACTAAATGATATATGTGATAATGATAATAAATTTACTAAATGATATATGTGATAATGATAATAAATTTACTAAATGATATATGTGATAATGATAATAAATTTACTAAATGATATATGTGATAATGATAATAAATTTACTAAATGATATAGTCAATTATTTTGAAAGATCGGGCCGATTGTTGCGATGTTGGTCGATCGATCGAAATTGCAAAAGATTAACTTCCTTCGAAATATAGAGTTTTACATAGAGGAGAGCTTATATATATTAGCAGACTTAATAATTCACTGTATTTTTGCTCTTTTTTTTACTCTTCTTACTTCGTGTCACGCGAGTAAGATTTTAAATGTCCAGCATTTCATTGTAATAAATTTACTAAATGACATAGTCAATTATTTTGAAAGATCGGCACCGATTGTTGCGATGTTGGTCGATCGATCGACATTGCAAAAGATCAACTTCCTTCGGAATATAGAATTTTACATAGAGGGGAGCTTATATCGGCAGACTTAATAATTCACTGTATTTTTGCTCTTTTTTTTTGCTCTTCTTACTTCGCATCACGCGAGTAAGATTTTAAATGTCCAGCTCTAGCTAACACCAGAATTCATTGGACACGAATCCGAGGCAACGGGGAAGAGTATAAATGTTCGTTCCTGTTCCTGAGAATGAATCTTATCATGTAAACAGACGGCGTGCGGCCCTGCCGGGTTTTAATTCGAATAAATCCAAGTTGACGAGGAGGAGACCTTTTAAAATTCCAGTGATAACAGACCGGATCTACGAGGCTCGTCAACGACATAACGTCTACCGCGCTTTCTTTCTGCACCCTCTGTTTTCCAGCCCATCTTTAAACTAAAACTCCGATCCGTTCAGAATTCCCGAACTTTCGTCCCGAAACGAACAGAATACTCCTTTTCTAATTTCTCGTTTGATGCTTACCTTTTCATTATTTAAACTCCGCATTTTTTTAAGAATCCAACATAATTTCTACCAGGAATAGAAATAAATAATTATCCTTCATTTTAAAAATATCCGTTGCCGTGGAATTTTGATGACAATAAATCTTATCCATAGAAACTATTTATTATTATTAATTTATGGAATAAATACCTTGGGATCTGTAAATGTTCTATTAAAGTTATCTTAGAATGTCTATTAAAAGAGATCTATTAAAAGAGGAACACAAACAACCATTGAACTGTGAATTGTTTATGCAAAGATTGAAAATAATTAACATATTCCGAATATCAATTCGAGTGTAATAATTATTTAATATTGTACTATTTACTGAATAATATGCAGTATTTATTATAATGATGAAGAACCTCTTTTTGGATCGATAAACGAAACATTTGTTCTTGTTATAAACAAATTTGTAATTTTATATCTTAAATGTACTCTTGCAACTGAAACTTTTCTTTGTCTGATCTTATCGGAACATATGTGGGCACATGACTTAAAAAGTTTCTATGGTTTATATGTCGAAGAGAAATTTTTGTTGAATTCCTCCTTTTTATTGTAAATTAATTTTATAGATTCCTACCTGTTGCTGATTTTTACTTGTATGCATTTACATGTGAACTTTTAATTTAACCAGAAAGCTTTGTGGATTATTTTGAATTATCTAATACATGCATTATTATAAGAATGTATAGATAGCAGTTCGAAATTAATTACAAATTGTCTAAAAACTAAAAAAAGTTGAAAAAAAATCATAAGCATAACATATATCTTTTTTACCTGACACTAAAATGTCGGTAATGTAGAAATGTCTTTGCTATAAAATGCCGTAGAGGTCGCTAACATACACTTGAGGAGAATACGCAGTGCAGATCCCTCTTTCAACACTTGCCTCAATTTTTACTTTATACATTCAAAATAATTTATTGCTAAAGCATGGTATAAGTGAAATTAATTTCCAAATATGTTTGCAAATTTTGAAAAATGAGATTTCTGCTCTATGAGTGTAATATTTCAATTTTATATAGTTTAAAGTAAACATATTCGGAGTAAATAAAAAGTTAAAAAAATATTCAAGTGTATAAAAAATTCAAATTTCAATCTCATAACTGTTTGTATTGAAATGATTAAGCGCTATTAAAATATCTGCGAGAATCAATTTCTATTCGTAGACCTCTGGTGGCAAATTCAAAAGATACGAATCAAAACATACGTACATACGTCATTCAAATTTCAT